GCTCTCGGCCTCCCTCCTCCCCCTGGGCTCATCTTCTATCCCAGCTCCCATTTTCATGTTCCTGTACGCATTGTCATCGCCCCAAACGAATCTCAAACGCTCTTGAAACAAATCTAGTTCATTTTTTATCTCCACAAATTTTCAAAGTTTATTTTTTGCTTTTATTATTTCTTATTCATTTTTTGGGACCTATTATGCACCACCTGACCCAGTCTCATGACTTCAAGTTTGTGTTTCAGAGCTCTGGAATCCAAAATAAGCAGCCACTTTTCACTGTCTACCCACTGTACAAGATCCGATCCCCGGATCGGCATTTATCGGGGATCAGATCAAAAATAGACCCAATACCGGGTATTGGGATTGGATTGATCTGCAATACAATCCCAATTTATTGGACAACTGGGATTGGGTGGAGCAATCCAATCCCAATACCCGTTAATGGGTATATTTTTGATCCGATCAAATACACTCTGGACTATACCAAAGCATGAGGCATTCAGCCTGCAGCTTTTGGGCATTGGATTGGGATTTTAATGTGATCCCGATCCTGATCCAGCACCATGGGATTGGATTGCTTTTTTTTGATGCCTGGTATCGAAAAAAACAATCTGATCCAATAAATCAGCCAAAAATACTGTATTGGATCGGATTGGTTTCATTGTTGGTCCATGGCATTTCTTACTAGTAGCTACTTTGAGCTGGTAATCAAATATAAAAGTATATCTTTCATCATCCCTGTTCACAATGCTGAAAATGATTTATTGTCTTTATTTTGAGACTGATACCTGCAACACTGAAACAGAGACAAGACAAGACGGTATCAGGCATTTATTTGTATTGTCTCAGAATTTGAATACCCAAAAATACCACATTTGTGTTGTCTCACTTTCCTGAGACAATACACACATATTTTCTTTGGAAAGTGAGGCACATATTCTGTATAGTCTCAGAGGGATGATCCCACCAAAAACGTCTTTGATACACATGATATTTGGCTGTATTGAAGAAAAAAAGACAATTTTTTTGCATTTGTAAATCCAAATCCAAGACAGTGGATTTTCTCACCAACCAAGGAAATATTGATACCAGGTATCAGGCTCAAAATAAAGACAATACAAGACAATACCATTACCAAATACATGTCTCATCTCTGTTTCAGTGTTGATACCTGGTATCAGTATTTCCTTGGTTGGTGATAAAATCCACCATCTTGGATTTGTCTTTACACATGCAAAACAAAATTGTTGTTTTTTTGATTGATAAAACAGCCAGATATCTTGTGTATCAAAGACATTTTTGGTGGGATAAGCCCTCTGAGACAATACACAATACTTGTCTCACTTTCCAAAGACAATATGTGTGTATTGTCTCAGGAAAGTGAAACAAACAAGGATTGGTATTTTTGGGTATTCAAAATCTGAGACTATACAAATAAACACCTGATACCATCTTGTCTCACCTCTGTTTCACCAAAACTGTTCAACACTTCTTTTGGGATCTTCTTCTCCATCTCAACACCTTCATGGCCATTGCAGAAGATTTTTCTAGTAAGCACTACTGTGGTTAGTTTGTTGGGTCCAACTATCCAGGCTTGCTCTTTTGGAGGTGCTTATTGTTTCTTTTTTCTTCTTTTCTTTCTCACTGTTGACCTTTGGTTGCATCTATCACTTTTTTTATATATTTTATTAGCTTTAGCCCAAGTGTGTGTGTGTTGAATGATTTATCTTTACTTTCCATTTTTCATTCTACAGATTGTTCCCATTGATTCAGGTAATTTCATTGTGGCCTTGTTTGGCACCAAGATAATTGAGTGATATAATGTGGATTTTTGTGACATCTGATGAACTTTGGCAGACCTGATCAGATGTCACACAAAAAACACCATATATTCCTCCCAATACATTGCTGAAAAAGGTGGCCTAATCACCTTTAGGCTTCACTTATGAAACATTTGAAAAAAAAAACATTACAGTTTAGCCTAAACTTCTCATTTTACACCTGAAGAATTGGCCAGGATGGAATTTGAGGTTTGTGGAGTATGTGTTCAAACTTCAAAACTAGAAATTCAGGCATTTTCAGCTAGCATCTCTTTCTTTTTTGGTTAGTAGATTGAATCTCCAGACTCCAACCAAGTCTTTGAACCTCCACTCAAAACAAAGTCACTCATGGCACTGCATTGCTTTTGCAAGTCACATCCAACTTGACAATGGGTTTTCATAACCAATTTTGAATTGTATGAGGGTGCCCAATAAGATGAACATTGTGCCATGTTACTCTGAAGGGTACCTAACAGTCAAGACTAACAAAAAGCTTCTCAGATTTTGAATAAGTTTGAATTGTAGGCTGAAGTGTGCTCTTGGTATCAGGGTGGTTAGGACTAATAATTTTGTCACTCTTTCAACTAATATGTGTTAGAAAGAAAAAGGTGCAAGCTAAAAAAGTAATTTAACAACTGAGAGAAACAGATGAGTGACAGAAGAAAAGAAGAACTAACATTTCTGAGAGAATAGAAAATGTGAGGAGAGGAGAGGAGAGGAGAACTCTCTTGAATGAGAATTCGAAAAAGGTAGCAATAGATCTGACAAATTGTTTAGTTTGAGAAACACTCAAGTAATTAATCTCAATGAATGGGGAGGAGTTCACTGAAGATTGACCGTCTAGTTGTATGAAAAAAGCGGTTAAGTGTAGAAAGAAAATGCTGATATGCACTGCACCTCGGGAAAAATTCGGGAAATTCACTGAGAGCAATGACTGTGAAAGAAAGTCGATATTTTGTAAGTGAAAGTAGTTAATAATATTTTACAATGCAATTGTTAATCTTCCGCTGGAAGGTCTGGGGCTTTCGTCGAAAATTTTCTGGCAATCAATGTCGACAGACTTCCAAAATGTTTTACCTTCCCACTGTTCTCTACCAGGAACATCCTCTAGAATAGCCTCGGGAATGGGGATCGAATTCTTTCCGTTGTCACCATAGCAACACCAGAACTTTTGGACATGGCCGAAGGCTTCCAGTCGTTCTTCACGAGTCAGTTCGTTCGATGGTTTTGCAGTGCCAAAGATGATTTCTCTGACTCGAGCTGGCTCGGGGCTCAGACATAAGTTGCCATAGGTTAAGGGAGGTGCGCCGAAATCCGGTGGTAGGAGTGGACATTGCTTGGAGGATGGCAATACTGTTGCGGCAGGTAAGGTGACTAATTTACCACCATCGTCAGACGTAAATCCACCGTCTTCTTCACTCGCTCCATCGAGTAACAGACTTCCTGGCCCTGCTTGGAGCGCTTGTGCGGTGCTCGTGAAAATCGGCGTGAGGATCAAAAGCGGATCGTCCAACGAATGGATAAACCATAAAACACTCATTAATGCTTTGCCTACGATCGGTGGTAATGTACCAGCTATGAGGACATCATCCACGGGAGAAAAAAAGTTAGTCGCGAAAATGTTACCATTGCTTGTCCTGGGGCGCCGGAGGGTTTTTGCTTACCAATCGCCTCAACTCCATGAATCAGCCAATGAATCACTTTGAATCCAGCACCAACTAATAGGATAGATTCTGCTGTAAATTCCTCCGGGTGCAACAGAAGATGCAAAAATAATCCACCGGTGATCGTTTTGAGTCCATTTATTGGGCTTTCGGAAAACAAATGCGCGGCTATCTTGGTACCTTTTTTGATCCAATGTTTAAGTTATTCAAATCCATTAGTTGTATGAATCGTGCAAAGAGTACTAGGGAGGGGGGGTCTTACCATCCCACAACTCGTCGCCCAGGTTTTTGACCTGGAAAAAAAAATTGCGAAGAGGTAAATAAAATCGTCAATTTGTCACAACTTGGCGCAAAGAACTAAAACAGGAAGTGCAGGTAAGAATCTCGAGATAAGCAGAAACAAGAGACGAACTTGCTGCCATTCCTTTTTGTATTCAAAAGGAAACTTCACAATCCACTTGAAGGCGGCCCAAATCATCGTGATAAATTCTTCGATCACCTCGACCGTAAAGTGAACAACGCCGTCAGCCGCTTTCTCTACTGGACTTGGGCCGTGAACCCATTTCTGTACGTCTTCATCAAGGCTTGTAGTAAATAATTCCCAAAGTGTTTGGTCCGGATGACGGGCCATATAAGAGACAATCCAAGCTTGTTCTTTTTCATCGTCTGTTGGTCCTTGAATCGTTAGATTTCTTGCGTATTGCTCATTCCATCGTACTGCCGCGGGACAGTTTATGCCAATGTCCGTCCCGGGTGTGTTTAGTGCTACTGTTGGATCATGTAAAGCTACGTTGAACGCATCAGATACACCTGCATGGGCATCTGCGTTTGCCTGTTTGTCATTGGCGTTCAGGAGATTGGAGGTGATAGCAAAGGATAAGTTTTTTTGTCCCCTGGACAATCCGATCAGGTTCATGAAGAGCAGTGAATTACACCAACTTACCAAACTCGTTTGGTTTGATGAAGCGCCCGGTAAGCTCCCAAAGGGGTTTCTGGGTGACTGAGTTAATGCACCGCGTGACAGCGCAAGAAGAGCACTGCAGTGCCAAAGAAAGAGGGAGTGAATCATCTTAAAGTGTTGGTGTGCCTAATGAATAAATGAAGGATGGGGGGGGGGGGGTCTATCAAAGCGAAGGGGATATTCGGCCAGCCTCTGGGCCCAGCAAAACATGAGAGCAACAGACTACTTATGAATGGGGAGCATAAAAAACACTGGAAGAGGGATAATGAAACAAAAGAAAATGTTCCAATGAGGATGCGAGCCTACCGGTTATGCTCTCTACTCCCTACATATTCCGGTCACCTTTGCGGTCACGATTCCATAACCAGTCCGAGAAATCTTGCGTTTGAAAAAGAGGCTGTATTTCGACTTTTCACCGACTTCATCCGCTCCCGAAATCAGCTTCAAGGTCTGTACAGCTTGCTGTATGGCCACCGAAGAGTGGAACTGGACAGACATCATCGGTTAAATTCAACCAAGTCCCTCGTTTCAAAGGGCAAGAGATGTAGGAGAGACGGCATATGTCAAAGGGCGCCGGCGCTACGCGGGCGGCAGGCGCTTCATCGCCCCATGAAACGAGGCACATCAAAATGGCATCAGCGGGAAAATCAAAAGATTTCCAAGTAACAGTGTATTTATGCTCACAAATCATAATGGAGATGGGATGGAGATGATAATGGAGGACTTCCCGTCGCGGTTTAGAGTGTTTTTTAGACCTCTCTCAGTTCTAAATTAACACTCTAATCACAACCTCAACTAGCTCACATGGCTCACATGAGCTGGGCCTTTACTACAAGGCTTCTGAAGAAAGATTTTTTTTGCCAAAAATTCAGTCCTTCATGGTGGGAATCCAATTCTGCGAGGGTCGTAAATGCCGACGGGAAGTCATCCAATATCGCCTATCATTGGCCTAAACAAAGATAGCGGGCAATAATAAAACCCCCGTAGGGCATCACAGATAACTTGCTGTCCCCGTCCAGTCAGATTAACGCTAAACCAGCGCTCACTAACCCACTTGTCGACTCCCATCCATGGCCAATCAGCTCGGAGCCAATTCAGAACACACTGTGCATTAGAGCCGAAAATGTTTCACCCGTTTAGTTACCTCTACACCATAAATATCTGCTTTTTGTAATAGACTCTCTGTTTGTTTGGAATTGACAGATTGAAGAATTAGCTCGTTGATGACGAGCTGCGGGGCGCGGCAGGGTCGGAGTGACCTTACAGGTTCACTGCAGCAAATAGCTCGAGGCCCAGATTGCTAGACGTACCAAATCACGGGAGGTTCTAAGAATCTGCTTGAGCGCGGCTGCCAAGCCCTGGAAGTCCCGGCCAAATGTTTCGAGAACATTAACATGCCACCAGAATTCTTGGATGATGGCAAAATGACATGATCATCAAAGAACCCTTACAGCTTAGCCGACCATGGAAGAGCTTTGGCGAAATTTTCGGGAGTCTTGGCTGCAGAAGAATTCCAATCATCGATGAGGAAAACTGAAAGGATGGTATATCACAGAAAGATCATTCGTTCTCAGCTCTGAATCGCCCGTATGAGCAGACAAGCCTTTGCGGTACATGCATCATCGTGACGTTCCCCATGGTCAATCCGAGGTGCTTTGATACTCAAGGTCGAATTCGCGTACAGATTAAATCCATGCTAATGGGTATCGTCCCCACCAGATGAAGCTGCTGTCGTATACTGCGCCAATGTCCTATACTGTCAGTATCCAACCGGCACACTTGATTGTTAACACGGCCCGGGGGAACGGCACCTAAATTCCAAAAGTTTCCTTTTGCGGTTATTACAAGAATGGCATCACACTTCGATTCGGTTCTTCCAGCCCTCTTTTGTCTTGGTCAAAAGCTGGTGATTGTTTTTTCGTTTGCTTTTCCTCGAAATGTGCAACGAGCACAAAAGAATCATGGGGGAAGTGAACACAAAAGAATCATGGAAAGTGCTTTTTGTTGTGTGCAGAGGATGATGGATCAGCTCGAATATAACAAGGACGATGACTGCCGAAGGGGAGTTGTATCTCTCATCATCAACTTCGCACACATCCTATCTTTATTTTATCCTCAGAGCTCTTTCACTCCTTATCAGAAAGAGATCACCATTGGGATAAGTCATTCATTAGAACTTCTACAGTACTGTGCATACAGCATACACTCCACTTTCATTATTATATCTCTTTCTTTAATACAACCACTATCCTCAAAACCTGAACACTCATCTAATTTGATCCAAGAATGGAGTATGGTAGCAATTTCTTGTCCGAGTTTGACCACTTGTTGTGAGTTATGTCTTTTTTTCTCTACAGAGCTCTCATTTCCCTCCCGCGATGCATTCCTGCTGCTTACGACCAATTACTCTCCGACTTTTAGAGGCGTGCCGACCTCAACGGTTGGTAGTTCAAGCATAGATTCTAGCTCCCGAGCGGATCATGCATCCCCTTCATTGGAGTTTGACTTTTGGGGGCTTGCCAACGACGATACGCCGGCAAAGTTTTCTGATGCTCTGACTCCAATGACAACGCTTCCAGGTCTACAAGTGGATTATCCCAACGCGAATTCCCAGACCGGTCTCAGCCAGAACAACCTGGCAGCATTCAACAGCTTATCCGAGAATCAAGACAAGGAGGACGCGCCAGGAAAGGTTGACCCGCCCAAGCCCGAGTCCTCATGCCACACCGCAACCTCATCCCGAGTTCGATTTGATCCTCCGAAAGGTCCCCGGAAACAGCATCGGACCGGCTTCCGTCAGCTTCCCGGAGCTAATGGCGTGATCAAGAGGGGCAGACCCTCAAAGAATGAATACAAATCTGCGGGCGTGGAAGTCGACATGTATGCCCTCAAGGGCATCACTCTCAACGGGCCTGCCAAGTCTTTGGATGAAGTCAAGGGCGGCGAAGCGATAGCCAAAAGGCCCCGAAGTACCAGGAAGACCAGCCGCAAACCCAAGAGCTCCGTGTCAGCTGCTGTCAAATCAAAACCGACACCTGGACCATCAAAAGCAAGCCAGAAAGAATCTCGATCCCAACAAGTCCCAACGACCTCCAGTCAAAGTTTCATAGATGTTGCAAATATGCCCTTCGACTTTTCTTCCTTACAAGGGACTTCAAATCCAGATTCCCAACTGGCCGAGTCCAACGCCGGATTCAACGAGCAAGGATACATGGCAGCTCTCCAAGCCTTCGATAACGAAATCGCCATGCAGTTCAACTCCGGTAGCCATCATCTATCCCAGCAAAATGCTGACGCGTCCCAGTGGGACCCCAACTCACAGCTTGGCCTTAGCAGCTCCCAGCCATCTACTGACTTGCAGCCATTGACTAACTTGCATCCAATGACTAACTTGCAGCCAATGACTAACTTGCAGCCAATGACTAACTTGCAGCCAATGGCTAACTTGCAGCCATTGACTAACTCGCAGCCATTGCAGCCATTTAGCAATTTAGAGTCATCAGCTAACTTACAGTCATTTAATTACCTACAGTCATCGACTGACTTACAGCCATTCACTAGCTTACAGTCATCGACTGACTTACAGCCATTCACTAGCTTACAGTCATCGACTGACTTACAGCCATCCACTATCTTACAATCAGCCAATGACTTGCAACCGTCTCTTGACTACCAGTCAATGACTGACTCCCAGTTAATGTCTGAAATCCAATCGTTGACTGATTCACTGCCATTGCAGCCCCCACCTGACTTCCAGCCATCATCTGACTTTCCGGCCCTCAACCCACCGGAAGCTTCGTATATCCCAGCTTCCGTCGATCTGGAGCCCAGCTCGACTTTCCCCCCCTTGAGTTGGGATATTAACTCAAGCCAATCGTATGCCAATCCTCCGGCAGGACTTGATGGCAATCTCCCTTACCCTGTAGACTTACAATATGTCACTGGAACCTTGGATAGCGCAAACGTTTATGACCAATTATCGTACCCTGCCAATCCTCCCGTTGGACTTGATGGTACTCTCCCTTACCCTGCAGACTCACAATATGTCGCTGGCGGTATCCTCTCTTACCCAGATCAGTCACAATATGTCGCTGGTGGTGATCTCCCTTACCCAGAGTCACAATATCTCGCTGGAACTTCGTCGAACTCAAATGTTAACGATCCCTCCGCGTACCCTAATTCGGTCTTGCAGAACTTCCCATATTAACTGATGGTCCGATGGGCTGGAGCCTTCATCCTCAAACTCAACACACCTTAATTATATCATTCCATCGCATTGTATCAAGTTATCTCTCTTCTAGTGAACATTCATGGTTATTCTATCCTTGTTATAATAATACATATTTTCCAGATATCCACACTCATTAATATTCTCCAAAAGTTTTGATTAGCTTTTTCTTGTATATAATTCATACCTAAGATTGATTTTCTGAAGGGTCCATATAACTCCAACAGCGTTGAGATCAATCCATTAAAATTTTCAAACTTTTTTCAAAGGAGAGAGAGGGATACAAATATAGATCTGCTGGTTGGTTTCTGGTGTTATTCAGGTGGTAAATACCAGTGCCGGTTTCTGACCTTCTTCAGGTGGGAAATACCGGTGGGTTTCTGGCCTTCTTTGGGTGGGAAATAGCGGGCAGTTTCTGGCCTTCTTCAGGTGGGAAAGAATATCATAGTTCTCAACAGTGGGGTTCACAGCTGTGATTTTTAGAAGTGCCTTGGTCAGTTGTCTCCCAAATTTGGGCGTTCTTGGGCTGACTGCTTGGGGACTGGAGGACTTCCCGTCGGATCTGGGACCCTCGCAGAAGTCGATCTAGAGCCGAAAACTCTTAATTCTCGCAGAGAAATTTGAATTTTGCGGCTCTAAACCGACTCTGGGAGACCCGCAGATGTTGACGGGAAGTCCTCCACTGTCTCAGGATGTCCCCAGCCCACAATGTTGTTGTCCCCCTAAAGCTTGGGAGTTGTTCTTCTCATTCCTGCAGTGGGAATGAATCCCAAAATATTTTAAAGAAAAGACCCCCCAGGAAATGGGGGTTGTGGCCTGGTACATACACAGTCCCCAAGTGGTCCTCCCAATGACTCCTACATTTGGGAGTCAATTAACCAAGGCCGTTTTAGAAAAACCCAGAAACACTTGAAAGCAATGTATAGGTTGTGGGAGGAACATGGAAACTGGCCATCCCAACAAGTCAAAATCCAAAAACATTAAAATGATTCTTCTTTTGAAATATTCATTCTGCTCCTCCATTGTGTCGTGATTTGATCCAATCAGCAAAACACTTTTATGAATCTTTGTTTTGTTTCTCTTCAATATGTCTTTTGTTTGAGTATTTTTGGGATATAGATAGTCTCTCTCTCAGATATCTTAGGGTATGCAAAATGCTTCCCACTGGTGTGTTTTTTATTTTTGTTATGATTGAGTTTGATCATTTGAGATGATATTACATATAGCCTATGAATAGGTGATTCTTCTGATTGCCTGGCTGTTTATTAAAACCAGCTGCATATTTAAATCTTGAATCTAAGATAGGCTCTGATCAGCTAATTCTATGGATGATGGTGATGATGGTGAAGTGTGATGGTTTGGGAAGTTGGGTGAACTGAAGTGTCACAAGCTCTGCTGGCCGTGAAACTATGACTCTGTGACAGTCTGGGGGCGTTCAACTTCTTCTTTTTCACAGCAGGAGAATCTGAAGTCGATCGAAGAACAACAACAAGAACCAAATAGTATGCACCCTCTCATCCTATCTATCATCCTCATCCAACTGCTGACCACTACATAGCACTCCCCACACAGGAACAAACATCTTGCCCCTCACGATGGACAAAAACACTCACTCCCAACACAATCCTGCCCAGAACAACACACCCAACCAACATCATGCCATCCAATACTCATCCAGGTTCACATCCGAGACCTCCAAGCCAGTCCCACTAGCTCACTTCATGGGCGCACGTCGCGATCTCAAAGGACCCGTACTCACCAAACAACGCGTAGATGAGAAGGAGATCAGGCCGGACGGATGGGAACTGGCAGAGAAGAGGTTCCAGCAGGCTCAAGCCAGTGGTGGAGCTGGTGGTCTCAACTCACTCGCCAGCCTCTTGTCTGGTGGTAGCAGTGGATCAAATCTATCGAGTCATGCCGGGAACTTCACCAAGCGTGCCCTACCCGGGATGGTACCACAGGATCGAATCAACAGTCAGGATACTAAACAAGCGAACAATAATAATAATAATAACCAACAGCGAGATACTAAACCATCCTTCTCATCAAAGTTCGATCACGACAAACCGAAAACATTCTCCAATCCTTCCTCTCAGTCTACATCCATCCCCACCACCACTACCTCGCATGCTGCTTCATTTCTCAAGCCAAAGTCGCTGGCCGATCGATTGGCTCAACTGGGCGTAACAAACGAAATCAAGACCAACATCCCACCCTCCCATCCAGCCGCTTCCTCCCCAAGGGCAGACAAGTTTCCTTCAACCGATCAAATCAACAACCAACAACCTGAACCTGAGTCCATCCAAGCCGATCCTCCCAGAAATTTCAATCGGATCACCAAATCCAATAGCGCCATCTTCAACACCGCCCCACAACAAACCTTGCCGGAGGAAAAGTCAGATCGCAAGGAGCAACGTCCACTCAGTGTTCATATCGCGCCTCCTCGGGACCCCAACCCTCGAACTAAAGCTTCTCCAATCTTATCATCTCCTCAAACCAACACCCCCAGAGAACCCTTGAGCACCCGTCCTAATGGTCCCTCACAACCCACCAGTGGCCCGTCTTACAAAAGAAATAATCGCCCCCAATCAGCTTTCCCTCACGCCCCTCATATTTCCACCGAGGGCCCGACGACTCTCGGCGTCCCCAATAAAGCTCTGACTGCCTCCTTGTCTCGTCTCGCTGGATCTAATATCGTTGCTCAACGTCTCGAGTGGTCCAAACAGAAAGAGCAACTCGGTACGATGGATGAATTTGGTAGCCCGCTCATCAAGACCTCCCCCAACAGCACATACTCAGCCCATAATTCACAAATCCCCTCACCAGTTTTGCCTCCCCAGCCTATCACTCAAAACCCCGTATTCTCAGAGCGTTCCAAGAACGCAATCGAGACTCCTGCTGAAGAGCCTTCTGGCGGCTTGTCACAAGCACGTCCCCATTCCGTTCAAAGACAGAACACTGGCCCTAAGCACACCGAATCAGGTATTAAAAAGCAGCTCACCAATATAATAAGAGCACCCGATCAGACGAGGACGATGACCAGCGATTTGGTATCACCAGCAGTCGCGATACCAAGCGGAATAAGAAGAATATCGATCAGCTCCGAAGCTCATCCCCGGCCAAGAAAGAGAATGAGGGTCATGGGGGAGGCATTCGAGCCACTGCTGCTGATGTTCAGCCCAGTACGACTTCCCCCTTACGCATGTCTCACAAGAGTCGTGCTCGAGTCCCTCGGCGTCCCTCAGGCTCGTCTCCGCCAAGGCGCGTGCCGAGGCGGCCAAGGTGTGCTCTCCGCCCTTAGGAGGCACGATTGCAAGCCGACAACTGCCCTCGATCCCCTCCTTCTCGCCCCTGATGAAGAAGGGCACCAGCGAGCTGGCTGCAGTCTGGGGCAGCCAGCTCTCCAACCCGACAAAGAAAGCCATCGATGGTGACCCTCTTCCCAAGAAGTCTCCTCACCCTCTTACAAGTCCTCTCAACGCTCACAGGCCTCTTCCCACTCCTCCATCCGCTACCCTGCCTCCCGCTCGTCCCAGAACCGCAACTGCTCCCGATAGTCGTCCCTTGCCCGTCCCTCCTGCGGCTGTCTCCGCTACTACCCCTCTCAGCCCCGAACCTCGGGCGAGAACCCGACCATTGCCTACCCCTCAATTCAAATCCGAATCATCATCTCTTTCAAAAGCTCTCAAAGATAAGGAGGCCAATGTCTATCGTAAGTCACAGGTGTCTCCATCACATCCCTCTGCTCACCTACCCGCTCTGCCAAGCGATCTGACAAGGTTTCAATGCACAGCTCAATCCCAGATCGATGTATCAAAGATATGGGCTTCATACGAAGAGAAGCAAGAGAGTTTATCGGCACTGGCACAGGCGGACAAGCTAGTGCAACTAGAGATCTTCCAATTGAACCGAACCCAGACGGATGAGCTGAGTACGACGATGCTAGACCGGGAGGATTACGGGACGTTTTACAGCGAAGAGAGCTTGCTGATCATTTGCACGATGAAAGGATCGAAGATGGTCTTGATGGTATGGCGGGGACGAGAGGTGAGGGAGGAGGATGGGGGGACGGAGGGCCGGATCGGCCGGTTGTTGAAGAAGTACGGCATCGACCGTCAGGCTTCCTTGGTGATCGTCAACCAGGGTTACGAGCCTCCCGAGCTCGTCCAAGCCTTAGGCGGTAGACTCTTACTCCGGACCGGCGACCGCTTCGACTCGGTCTACCAACGCGGCCTGTCCGCCGTCTTCACCTGCAAGAGCTTCCCACTCCCCTCCTCCTCGTTCCATGATCCAAACAGCCAACAAGATGAACGCGTGGTTATCATCGAGGAACATTTCCTTAACCATCCTACCTCTGATCCGGCCATCACTCTCTGTACTGGCTATCCTTCTCTCATCAAGATCTGTCTTCAACAACAGCCCTCTAAACTCGGCTTGTATCTCTGGAACGGAAGGCTCTCCAATCCACTCGAGCTCGAGGAATGCAAACTGTTGGCCCATCAAGTCCGTAACGAGGCCGGTGCTTATAAGGTCCGTCCTTTCTCTCTCTCTACGGACCACTTTTTTTTTCGTAGGCTGGTCACTTATTTTTTTCCTGTTCTTGTTTGATAGACTGAGCTGGAGGTCGTCGAGGAGGGCAATGAGTCGGATCGATTTCTTTCCTTGTTAGGCGATGTGAACTTTGCCCGCTCATACGTAAGAGTCTCTCATACACTCTATCTATCTCTCTCTCTCTATCTTTTGATCGGTTATCTCCTCGTCATAGTCAAGAGCTGAATGGAGACTGACTCAAGCCTGAAAAACGTTTGTTCGAAAATGATGTGTGATCGGATGTGGAGAGTAGCATTGGCGGTACAAAGAACTGGTGCCGATGCGGACGATGATTGTGGATGCTCATGGACAGCAAATCGACCGGGTCTCATTGAGCGACATCTCGATCCTCTGGACCGGGCTTGAGGTCTTCATCCTTGTCCCCCCCTCGATCACTAATCCTATCACATCATCATCGTCGTCGTCGTCGATGACGATGTCGATGTCGATGTCGATGGTCGAGAAGCAAGTCCGGAACGCACTCGGACTCGCTCGCTCCCTCGCTACTTCTTCTTCTTCCATCGCTCACTCGCTCGATCGCTTTCATCAGCTTCCTAAACGCATCCTCGCGACTCATTGCTTACTCTTTCCTTCCATCATTCCCGTCGATTTGCTGGCTTCGGTTAGGTTCGGAAACCATCTCGATCGGCTCGTAAGTCTCCTCATCCTTCTGTCACTTTTTTTTTTTTTTGAAAATGACAATTGAGAGTCTTGTTTTCTCGCTTTATTGACGTAGAACGAAGGATTCCCTAGGCCAAACTGTATGAACTTAATCAGTCTTGACGAATTCTGTTCCGACCCTACTTCGTCTCTCACTTCGTCTTTATCTGCGTTATCTTTATCGCAAATATAAACTCAACCTTTTTCTCACCCCCCCCCCCCCAAGAAAAAAAAAACATGAAAATATATCTCAATAACCATCTTTTTTTTTTTTCTTATCTTGATCATTATTCATTATAGCAGTTTTGCGGTTCTTTTTTACTGACGGGCTTCATTCCTCTCTTTTTGATGGTTGATTGATCAAGCCCCATGTTTTTTCTCTTGTTTTTTTTCTCTTTTTACACTGGCGGGTTCTTTTTTTTGTTTTCTGAAAGTATAATCATTTATTGAGTTATATATATATATATATATGTGAACCAGGTTTTCCTATACATCTCTCGTATACGTTTATTGATTGATTCGAAGAATTCTTTTATATCTCGCTGCTCTTCTTCCTCCTTCCTTCCCTCTCTCTCTCTCTCTTTGATCTTTCTTCCCTCCCTTCGTTCTATCTTACATATACACACACACATATATATACATATATATAATCATATCTTGACACCAGAAAACTTGTTTTTTTTATCGTTTTTTTTATTGAAAGATATATACACACATAATGAAGAAGAAAGCTTCATTCCAATCGTATCTTATATCTGTTATCTCGTTGTTTCAGGGAGAGTTACACTTGTCGATAACTTCAGCCATTGGGTTATTTGGACATGGGTACCAAATAAGTCCAGTTTTTCATGTGTCTTGAATAGATATTTATGTTTCTTTTTGGGTGGCTTACATCAATCTTCTATGAGTTGAAGAGAGTCACAAGACGCTAGACATGTGTGGGTTTAACTTTCTGATACATTGGTCAGACTCAAAATCAAACAGACCTTGCTTTTATAAAAATCTGGTACACAATGCCTGACTACAGCTCAACAAGCTGCGAAAAGGATAATGGTCTCGGTTTTGCAGCCACAGCCATTAGTGTTTGTTGATGCAAAATCCCGGAAAACATTTTACCACAAAAACCCCATAGCATGAGAACACTACAGTTAGCATAGCTGGCACACCAACCTGTGTGTTGATAAGTAGAATGAGCTTCTACCAGGAAGCTGTTGAGTTACAGAGCTCTAGACAAGTTACAGGAGGGGACTGAGAGGAACGCAACAAGAGGGTGATGAAATCAGAGAACGATGTGCGGTCGGCTTTGAAGTATTTATGTAAGCGAGAGATCGGCTTAAGGTCCAAGTCGATGATCTTGACCTGAGTTCTTTGAGGGAGTCGGGCTTCCGGAGCGGGAGAGAGGAGGAGGGTCGAGGTTGTTGGGTTGAGGTTGGTATGGGAGGGGAGGACGGGCACGCGGACAAAGATCGAGCAGTCCTTGAAGGTCATCGACAGTGCATACATCACCGCTTTGGTTCGAGCAGACTGGCCATCCAGAGTCTGCTGGACAGTCTCCGGCGCCATTGTCTCGGACATCAGCGGGATCAATGCTGTCAGCTCCGCCAGCCCGATCGGCGCCTCCAATACCTCCGCCCCTTCTTCTCCCTCCTTGTGCTTTGAGCCTAGCTCCTTGAACACTCCTTCAATGTCCAACTTGTCCAATCGTCTTTGTAGCTCCGCTAGCCGTCGTAATACTCCAGATCGCTCTAGGGTCTCTGCTAAGACTTCGATCAATTCAGGATCTACCTTCAGGTCGCCTCCACAGTCATTCATCAGCTCGAGAACGTCGCGTCACCAAAAAACAAAACTCAATGTTGTGTCTTACCTCGACTGATAAAGGGTCGAGCAAGACTCCATGACGAAAGATCTTGAAGTTGTTATGGGCTTGAGTGTTTTTAGAGATCTCAGGATCTGGAGGGATTGTTGAAGTTGGAGGTTTGAGGTGTTGCCATTCGGCGCATAGCCGATCGAGGGCACGACGGAGGTGAGCAGGATGGCGAGAATTGAAGAGCTGGAGAGCACAGAAGCGATGGGCGGAGGTGTAGTACTCGTCCAGCGGCTCTGAGGCGGCTGGATCCTGTGCGGCCTCGACCGACCGGACGGCCCGGAAGACACACGTCCGACAGAACTTGCTCTTCGTCTCTCGTGTGCTCGGCTCGAGGAGGTCGAGATTGTGGGGTAGACAGGCCCATTTGGGCTTGCAGAGAGAGAGAGAGAGAGAGCGGAGAAAGGGTGTGAGTCTGAAGGGATGCTAAGATCTTTCGAATTGGTCTTTCTGTTTTATCTCGCTTTATCTATCTACCTTGATTTCGACGGAGATGATTTGCTGCTCAGAGCCGTCGCTCTGATGGGCCAGATTGTCCATGATGATCGCATGTGTGCGGGTGGTGTCGATGGAGGACTGGTCCCGCTTGGTGCTCGGACGACTGGGTTCAACGGCCGTTGCGAGTCCTTGGAGCCATTGGTTATCCAGACTGATCAGATCGAATTGGAGCAACAGGTCTGGACTGATGATCTCGCTGAGGATTTGGTGATGGAAGTCGAAGAAAGAGATCTGCTTGGATCTGGCTGGTTCGATCTGCTCTTGAGTCTTCTCCTTGTCCTCTGGATGACTTCTGCTTGTTGTTTTAGTCAATCTGAGTGATTTCCCTCTCAATAGTCTTTCCTCTGTTTCTAGTAGTGCTGGATGGTATGCTAGGATCAGGTTGGCTGCCCCTTCGGCGATGTATTTCCAGTCTGCTGGTTCTGTTGATTTGACTGCCTGACTCAGATCGAGGTCGACTAGTGCTTGATCGTTGTCCATCCTCATCCTCATCGTCCTCGTCCTCGTCGTCGTCATCGGTTCGTTCGAGATGGAAGTTCTTTGAAACTTTTCAAACTTTTACAATCGACTCAGCCCATCACAATCGGGGCCCCCTCTGCTTCTCCCCGACCCCGGCTAGGAGATCCCATCCACTTTTTGGCTGGTTGACCACAAAGTGTACCAACTTCACAGCAAACATCATCAGCCCAAAGATGAACTACTATGGAACAAGACGACTGCTACGACTGACTAGAACAACAACAACAACAGCAAGAATCGAACATCATCAACTCATCTATCTCATCCATCCTCTCATCAGCCAAAGGAACTCTTCCTCCTTCTTCTCATCTCAAACTAACTCAGAAAACCCACGATCGAAGAAGGACGAGGGTGAAGACAACTACTTGAGTGAGTAAAATATACCCTCTTTTCTCAGGAAACATGAAGTTGACTCGAATTTTTTTCATCCCAACAGATCGACTGAAGGTCAGATTAAAGAACACTAAGACCAATTGGAAGCCGATTCCAATATGGATCGGGGCCTCATTACTAGGACTGATAACTTATCTGAAGAAAATTGGTGATCGATCTGGATCAGAAGGAGAAGGAAGCACTCGGAAAGCTGACTCGACCACGATCACTCCCGTAAAAATCGAAGGTCCTTGGCAGGTTCATGTCCTCGGCGCTCTCCCCTTAAGAACTATCTCCAGACTCTACGGTTTACTCAACAGTTATACCTTGCCGATTTGGTTCAGAGTCCCTGGCTATAAACTTTATTCTTGGTTTGTCTGTCTGTTACCAATCTCCACTCTTGACCATCACCTTAAGCTTCCACATCGAAGAATGTCTTACAGAGTAATTACTGATGGAGGGAAGATTTTTTTTTCTTTTTTTTCAATAATATAGGATCTTTGGAGTGAATTTAGAAGAAGCAGAAATAGAAGACTTGAAACAGTACAAATCATTAAATGATTTCTTTATGAGGAAGTTGAAGAAGGAGTGTAGACCAATCGATCCGCATGCTATTCTTACCTCTCCCTCTGATGGAAAAATCATCAATTTCGGGACGATCGAAGGGAGGAGAGTTGGATCCGTCAAAGGATTATCGGCAAGCATATTTCACACTCTCCACTTCTTTTGTTTTGTTTAGTACAACGTCACTAAAACTGCCCCTTTCGCGTTAAATTCGTACAAAGCGTAGTATTCAGTTGATGCCTTATTACTTGGACCGAATGAGCAGAAGAAGTTGAATGAGAGCGAGGGCAAGAAACGGTCATCAGAGGAGAGCCAAGTCTCGAACAGCCGATTTGCAAACATCAACGACATTTCGTATTCAGTAGATGAACTGATGGGCGGTTCTGAGAACACGCAACACGACCAGGACCCGACAGAGAGCTCGGTGGCTTCCCAGCCAGTCAGCCCCGGAGCCGGCCTCGCATCCTCTGTCAAAGTTCATACCGATATCGTCAGGGGTGAGCTCGAAACTCTGCCCAGCTCCGGCAATCGGATGTTCTTCTTCGTCGTCTATCTCGCCCCAGGCGATTATCATCGCTTCCATTCTCCCGCCGACTGGAAGGTCGAACGTCGTCGTCATTTTGCTGGTTAGTCTTAACAACAAGCCTAGATATCCTCTTTCTTCTTCACTGTTCCTGTTTCACATCACCGGTTTATTCACTTCTTGGCTTCATTTATCTATCTAAAAAAATGGGATGACTATAGGAGAGCTGTTTTCAGTCTCACCATGGATGGCGGGGAAGCTAGCGGATCTATTTGTACTGAACGAGAGAGTGGCCCTATTAGGACGATGGCGGCACGGGTTTTTCTCGATGACGCCGGTAGGCGCGACGAATGTGGGCTCGATCCTGATCAACTTCGATCGAGAGTTGCGGACGAACCGGGTGGATAAACGGTGTCATGAGGAGATGGTCTATGGGACTAATAACGCGATCTTCGACGGCCAGGTCCTCGCTAAGGGAACCGAGGTCGGCGCCTTCTCGCTCGGTAGCACTATCGTCCTCGTCTTCGAGGCCCCCGAACAGTTTCAGTTCTCCGTCAAAAAGGGCGAACCCGTCCGCGTCGGCCAGGCTATCGGCAACATCTAGAACCTCTGATCATTCCATTCTTTCGAGATGATTGTCTCCGTTTATCTCAATCAAATATTCAAGTTTTTCCTTCCCTCACCTCTTATCCGTCCCCCCCCCCCCCCTCTCCCTCGATAACAAGAACCCTTCATCAAATTATCTGTTTCTTCTTTTTTCCCTCAGTGTGCTCTTTTTTATTTCTTTCCAATTGTTTCTCCTTAATATTTTTTTATTATCAATTGGTGATATAGATTTTACATAGATATATTTATATATATAGAGAGAGAGAAAGAGAGAGAAGAGAAGAGAATATCTTAGGGTTCAGGGAATTCCCCAAGAGACAAGATACTACCCAGGCCAGGGACATGTTCACTACTTGTAGGCTCAGAAGTCTGTGTTAATCTACATGGCAACAGCCTCAAAAATGGGTTGTTTAATATTGATCTGGACACAAGGTATGAAAAAAGAAATGGAAACCTCGAAATGATTCTTGAAGTCAGACATTTTATAGTTACGGATTGTCAGTCAAATTGAACATATCTACTCGAAGGGCAAAACTTGATGAAATGCGTCGACGGTTATTCAATGATGATGGTATGCTGGAGTTGGCTCGACTGATGTATGAAAGCTCGCGTCCAATGAACGATCATGACGATACACATCCTTGGTCATATGCTATGTGATTCACCACACCGGCCTCCCACTGATCAGCGGAAAGCGTCGAATGAGATTCTCGTCAACGTCCCCCCCCTTCAAGGTTTGATTTAAGCCCATAAAGTATTTATGTATGTACATGCAGATTTTATTATCGTCTTTCTCACTCACTTTCAATACCCCCGGTGGACAACACCATCCGTCCTCATCAGATCCACACAGCTCATTCGATCTTCCTTCGTAAAATAGAAATTATATAATCGCAATTTTTGGAGCAAAGGCCCAATTGTATTGATACACCAAAAAAAAAAAAAAAAAAAAAAAACATTGGGTGAATTGAAAGTATCATTGAGCTTAAACTTTTAGGACAATACAAATAGTCAAGGAGATATTGACTTACGAACATAAGCTCTGTCACCAAAGGCAATGTTTTGGTCGCTTGAACACCCATGTTCATATTCCTCTGGCCAACAAAATTGCTCTGCGAATCCAGACGTGAAGAGGATCATGAGTCCAAGAAAAGCGGATCGGAAGGTGTGCTTCATGGTGAGGAGTGGAGTCAGACGAGCTGGACTGCAAAAAACTCTCATTAATTTATAGAGATTCTGGAGTGTACAATAGAGTAAATGAAGGGAGTCGGGGCTGTATTTAAAATGGGACAGACGATATCCATGATGATGGAAGCTCATGGAAGTGTGCATTATACAGCACATACCACCTTGTCGATAACCCCAATTTAAGGGGAAACCCTACGACGACCTCCCCACAACTTACAACTAAGCAACCGCGCCGTTCGCGGGTTGCACCCGAACTGGCCAGAAGCCGACGAGCCACTTCCTCCCGCATGGAAGGGTGCGCGTCCCAAACCGATAGCAGACCGGCCATTCGAGTGATGGGTTGTGCCACAAGGATTTTGATGGTCGTGATTGCGTAGGTGGAGGAGGTGCCAGGGCCACTGGCCATCACATTCAAGTCGAATTGGAAAGTGTCTGTACTGATTCTTGTCCCCATCATCACCCGGCAATACGCAAACATGCATGCCTCTATGACGCTCTCCCCGATCATCGCGTATGAATGCACCCTCGCCACGTGTCATCCAAGATGGTGGTTACTTTCCCTGACTCTTTTTTTCAAGTAAGGTCCGGACGCAGCATCTACCGGAATTAGCTTCCTCCTTTGACTACTAGTTTTGAAAAGCTTACCTGTAAGACGACTATTCAAAATCACTGGACCGACAATTCGGAGAGCTCAATCGGCCTGGTCGATCACGAATAACAGTGACGGTCAGGGTCGAAGAGTCGTGGCAAACTCTTCTCATTGGCGCGTTTTCACTCAGAAGCATCTCGAAACTATTTGGATTAAGCAAAAAAAAAAAGACCTTACCTATCTTTTTGCATCTCAACAACCCATTATCATCTCTTTGGTGTACCCAATCATTCAATTTTCATTCTGGGCTCAATAACTACAAAATTAGTCATATCGGAAATCACTTGGGAACCCAAGACCATGAATCCATGTGTGAAAGGTTGGCCGATAGGTAATCAGAGAACGGATACAGCGGAGTCCGGACATTGAATCATGGTTGGGGGTGATTTAAAATAGTAGATCAAGTCTTGTTCAAATCTTGATAGCTCATGAATTGATTCAGTTCGTCAAAAAACACACCAAAAGTGGTTCATGATTTGTTGCATTGCTTCAATGTCCAAACCATAACAGAGCAAACGGAAAGGGAATCAAACGAGCGCAAAGTGCTAGCTATCACGTAGCTATCGCAATTGATCACAATCGATCCAATCGCAATCCTCGGGACTATAGTTCTGCCGGGACTTGATACAACACAGAACTAAGCAATTCATGAACGCGATAAGCCAATCATCAGCAGTCGGGTCATCCCTAATATGCTGCAGTCTATGTAAACATCGTGACTCCGGTTTCACGCCCGGGCAGCCACACATAAATAACACATGCCACAGGCTGGAGAGCGTATGAAGGGGCGAGTGGGCCATGAGGTTGACCTCAATGCCCGGACTTCAGCAACAATCTTTTCGCAAATTCGAATTGATTGCTAGGAACTGCTTCAGTAACGGTCTCTAGCTAGACTTGCTAGTCTTGATTTATCAAAGTGGTGGAGCCAAAAGCAGTGAGTCATCAATCTTCCATCCTCATGTTTGTCAGATCGTCTTGAATTTGATTTGGAACATCTATATCTTTGAATCGCTTGCAGGACCTGATTTGAGCATTCACATTCGATAGTTATTAGCCCTATGAAGACAGCAGATCAGTTCTTGTTTTACTTGTGTCCACATAGCAATTTCAAGATAGCTGTGTATCTCTCCAAAAATCAGTCAGTTGGGTAGAGTTTCCCTGTGATCTAAGTCCAAAGTCTGTCTAGGTCTGTGCATTTTGGAAAACTGAAATTCAAAAGCGTGGGTGTTACTGTTGCGCTTAGAAGTTAGAGGCCACAAGACACACTATTTAAATAGTCATGGTCCATGGAAAACACAATTGGGTCTATTCATTTGGATCATCATAATACTGTGTGACATCCATTGGCTCTCATTTTGTGCGCTTCCCTTTCCATTCCCTACAAGCTCTGAGTCTCTGGGGAAAAATGAATTAAATTTACAAGGGGGAAAAGGCCTCATTCAATCCAATAGGGGGGGGGGGGACTCCGGGAGGGGGTTCACGGTTGGACTCTAGAGCCATTTTTAAGGTGATTATGAGCAACATTATACAATTTCTTGAGTCTATCAGACGGAGTGGTTTCTGAACTTCCTGCACACAACAAAGAATTATAAATTTTTGATCAGAAACACCTTAAAAATGGCTTTAAAGTACAATTGTGAACCCCCCTAATGTAGCATTATCAGGACTTGTTGATTCATGGATGCTTTATTTTTTGTTGTGCTTACCAATATTGATGCCAGCCTGATCTTACATTCCACATTCAGTCATCTACGCAAATACTTTTACATGAATGTTCATAAGAATGAAAACGAGATAGTTGTATAAATGGAAAAACTAGTTTAAAGGAATTAGCAGAATAAGAATGAAAATCAGATATTTTTATGTGTGGAAAACCCAGTGAAAAGTAGGACGAGACTCAAGAGAGAAAGAGGGGCCAAAAATGGAAGAGAAGAATGGCGAGGAGAGAGAGGAGAAAGAAGAAGCTGCCGAAGACAAATAAATTGATGCTTGAGTGATTGCTTCTTCAAATCGATCGGAGCCTGAGGGGGCGTCGGGATGAAACAATTTTTTTATCACTGCTTCTGAGTATAAGTTTCTAAACGCGACCAATAGCCTGACCGACGCGAACAAGGAGCGTGTTTTCCGAACGGAGAACTATGGAGCCGAGAAAGCGCCGGACTCGGCGGCCTGAGGATCTGGCCGTCAAATTCTCTGGAGACTGGGCCGATCGACCGTGATCGACGCAACTGGTCCGATCTGAAACTATCCCGCCATTCGTCGCTGCCACCGGCCTGATCGAGAAAGACCTATGGCGCCCCAGTCATTCTTTCTACCATCCATTGTGAAACTGAAAGCCCTTCTCCTGTTTCTGTCTCTCTCTCTGTTGGATAAGAGAAGGGAAATTTAGATGGTAGGAATAATCAGAACGAAGAAACCAGCGAATGACGTTCAACTGAACCATGTACTCTGAAGTGAAAGAATTGAAAGGAAAAGAAAAAGAAAGTATACCTGGGTAATAACTCACCAGCCAAAATGACGGCAAAGCTCGAGCTTCCACCCGGTAGCCCAGCGGAAGGAATCGGGATCACTTGGGATAGACGCCGAAGCACTCAGCAGCTGGTCCGCAGGCTGCAATATCCCGATGATATTGACAAAGCGGGTGTCTGACTCCTAAATGATTTCTTGCCTCCTGTGCCGCCCAGCCCCTCCACTCTCTTGGGCCGAGACTCCGAGCAATAATGCACCAACTGAATCCTTTGTATGCTTTTGGTGTTCAACATTTATTTTTCAACTCCGGCAGTCGACCGAACTCGAAGCGGATTCGGACGCAATACATAAATACCACTGCTAGCCTATGTCAGCATCTGACATAAATAGATAGTCTAGCTGCTAAACTCAGCTGAACCTGCCGCGAAATTGCTTATCAACCAACAATACGTGGAGAGATACACACGCAAAATAGTTGGATGGAATTTTTTGGGGAGGGTCTACAAATCTGTGAATGACTTTCTTTGGTTGAGGTTGCATCTAGAAAGCAGTTGACCATAATCCATACTAGAAATACATGTCCAATGACTGGAAGTCGGAACTAGCTTTTCTCCTCCAGCCGGACTGACTCCCGATGCAATACATGCATCACGCACCGCTCTTGGTTAGGGGCCATAACACGTCGGTCTCGACCTTCGACGGCTGTGTCCAACTCTCTGCATGTTCCGGGTGATCGGGTATGTAACCAAAACTGGCGATTCTTGGAGCCGGCGGTAATGTATGTTGTAAGCTGATTCTGGAATTCGGACTTCTTCATCCGACGTCTTCTCGCAATTGGCGTGACCACATTCCATCTTCAGATCGGATCGGCTTTTTATATTGCCCTCGGTCGGCCGCACACTACATACCAAAATGGCAAACTTGACGCCACTATGTAGTTTCCAAGATTGGCTTGTGCTGAGATGACCAGATAGCTGCTTTCCGGCTACATAGGCTTGACGCTCGAGCCTTTCTACCACCAATCATGAAGAATACAACGTCACGAGTCGGCGGCAAAATTGCTTTCCCTCCTCGTCTTGGTCAGCCCGAGTTTTGTCCGCATGCCTTCCACTGCCAGAATGATGTTTTGCAAAAGCATTTTTCAAGTCGATTCTAGTGGATCGTGCATGTGGGGCTCTTGCAGTGCAGGATGTTCTGGCTATTCACAATTTGGTGCATACACGGTGGGTGGCAATCCGTCAAATCTATAGACCTAATATTAAGTCCTACTCACAAGCGAGAGTGCTATAGCCTGCCAGGAGTTAGCTGAGCTTACAAAGGGAGACAAGGGTCAGTCCATCGTCAAACCGCCCTAGTAAGGGCGATAAAACCCCTTGAGTGCCCATCCCTCTCGCCTGATGGATTGTGTGTCGGAACAGCTTGATAGATAAGAGCCGGCGAATTGGCTACAGCTACAAGCTGTAAACCGACGGGAAGCTAATTTAGCCGGTGTGGTAATCTTATACATAAACAATGTGAGCTGTCAAAAACCAAATTCAAGATTGCTACATAAGCTTTGGCGCTTCTGTCGATCGGGTGCCTCGAATAATATGTGGTGCACCTTTCATTCCCGTCTGTTGGTTGCTTGATGTGATGTGTTCAGTGCACAATCAGTGAGTGAAGAATCGATGGAGCGAGCGAGCGGGATCGGCGGGTGTATTACTATCGGCCCGCCCAAGTTTGCGAGCCAAATAAGCTCTGTCGGCTCACTCGGCCTCGTCGTCCATGTACTCGTATTTTTTTTTTCTTCTTATACAATTCTTTACTTAGTTTCTCGCTGGTGTTTGCAGTTCCTGCCTGTTCCTGCTCTGCTCCAGCCAGGATATTGCGGAAAGGAACATGCGGATGTATCGCTTTCGCAGCGGCAGAATGCATGGAAAGCCTTAGCGTAACTCGTCAAACCTTCCGGTTGTCAGTTCTCACTCTGTACGAGATAGGGGTAAGAATCTATGCACTTGACGCACCGAGAGATTGCCATCTTGGTCTGATGCTGCCAGCTCAGGACTCAGGAGAGAATCTTCACCTACCACCGATGTTCGATCTTATTCTTCTTGACGAACCGTGTATACAAACAAGACCCCTTCGCCATGAACGGCTCACCGCTAAGAACTAGTGAGCCAGCAGCTTCCTTCCCCACGTCGCCGATTGGTTTCTTCCCTCAAGTCTTCAGCTTTCCCAATGAAACTTTGATGCAAGTAATCTTTATCGCAAATACTTACTTCCAAGTGAAATATTGTGTAGTCCTTGTCACCCGGAGACCGACGGGCGGAGCATTCCCGGCATTCTCTCCGTAACACCCACTGATCCCCCATCGTATTGCTCATTCTTTCCCTCCGCGACCAAGGGCTGGTAACGTGGTATGAAATTGATTGAAGTATGAATTCTGATACCATTACTTGGCCCCCATCTTCAAGAAATCATACCCCCCCCCCCCCCCCCTCATGAACTGACATGGCCTCGTCCTCCCCTCAGCTTTTTGCTAGCATCCAGTGGTTATTAACATCCTTTTACTTGGCGACCCCAATTTGAAAAGTCGCACCAGATTCAACATCTTATCTTCTTTCCAATAAGTTCCTCTAACACGATCATATCAGCAACTTCAACTTTGTACTCCCTGCTTCCAATTTGGCTGTGTGCTTGACGCGAAATGGCGGAGTTGCAGCTACAGCTCACTGAGCCTTGTCTGATCTTACCTGGTAAGGCTATTTCCCTGCAGTCTTACAATTTTATGACACTACAAGGGTCTGCTGTGTCGTATCATCACTAAATCAGCTACTCCTACCTCCACACCAGGTGCCTCCCCCAATGAGGCAGTTGCAGAGCCCCGAAATGATGGCGACAGCCTGCGGCCATCATCTGGCTCTGGTACCAGCTCAACTCTGATCAACCTGATCAAACAGCGACCAAGATTGAGCAGTTCTATCAGTCAATTTTCTAATCTCTGCCCGGCCGAGGGGCCCGTTCAGTTTCCCGCAGAAGCCGAAGAAACTTTCCCGTCTATGGTCGAGTTGGGCTCAGGAAAAACTTCCATGATCCGTGGCTTTGTGGTACTTCATGTCTCACAAGCCATCAACCTCAACCGCCTTTCGATTAAATTCTCCGGTAGTACTCACACCGGGTCCGAGTCCGCTGCCTTGGCGCCGTCCGGCAATAGCACCATTCTCATCGCCGAAGAATATACCATCACCGATGCAAGCCTCATCTCGGCCGAAACAAACCCTCGGGCTCCCCCATATAGCTCCAATTCCAGCACTTCATTGAACCCCAGCTCCAGCCGTGGTCACTCACTATTTTCACTTCACCTCAGCCAAACAGAAAGCAGTGAACCGAATGCTGGTCGAGGGACTGCAACTCCAGTTGGTGCGGATCGGCCCTTGTCCGGTGCATCTATCAACAACCATTGCAATGTGAAAGCATCTGCACACACTTTTCAAAATTCAATAGTACAGCCTCTAGAAGAACGTGGCAGACGACCCCGTAGTGCTAGCAACCCGAGAAGCTCTCTATTCCTAGGCGCGAGTGTGTCGAACTATTTCCATCGTCGAAGTCGTAGTGCCAGCTCCTTGGACAAACGCACAACAATTCCCTTAGAGATAGATACGCAAATAGGCACTTCAGCAGAGCGTAGTAGCTTTGTCATGGTCAACAAACTCCAAGAGCCAGATGATCTATTTCCAATGTACCAAGACTCGGTCTTTCACGACATGTTGGCCAACCAGTATAAGTTGTTGTCGGAAGAGGGCTTCATTTCTAACGAACAATCGAAATCGCCATCTTATGAAGCACACTATCATAACCCACTCTCCCCAAATTCCGTCGCCAATATAGACCCCAAGGCAGTCGCTGAGCTGAGTACAACAATCAAGACTCCCTCCAAAAATAAATCACAAAACGGCGATCGAAATCGAAACAGCTCAACATCGTTCAAGAATAGCATCGCTCAATTCGTTGGTGCTTTCAAGGTGAAGAGATCCTCTTCCCTTTCCAACCCGCTCAATCTTCGAAAAGTCACTACTACCAACGCCCCCCGAAAAAATGGCCCTTGCTCTGCCGATCCTATCCGATCCTACCGACCGCACTCAACCATATGCCAACCATCAAAAGAAGTCTGTAAGCGCAGTGGTGATGCGAAAACTGGGGCGGATTTGGCACCCGGGAATTCAAATTCATTTGGGCTGCAAAGATTTGGATGGGGTCGATCGAGTTCTAGACGGCGTAGCTCCTCTGTTAGCAAGGCCAACACCTTGAAGAAAGCAGAGCTTAAGAACAGCAAGAGCGAAGTCAAGGAAGTGAGCTCTCCTCCGATTTTGGCTTCCGATGAACACACGAGCGCCAGGACGGATTCATCGGCAACTGAAGATCCCTTTAGAGTGTCTCACTCTTCATTAAGCACCATGAACGTTCCCGAACTACCAAAAGCCAGTTTATTGAAGCCAGGGGTTTACAAGTATCCTGTTGTCGTCCCAGTTCCCAACCATCTACCTCCTAGCATGACTTGCAAACACGGATCTATTTCGTACTCTTTAGAAGCGCGACTAACGTACCAAGACGTACAAGATTCAACTTTACTCACCACTCACCAGCAAATGTCTATTGATCTAGTTGACCCAATGGCCGGGAGTCCAAGTTTGAATCCTTCCTGCCGACTTCAACTCTCCGGAGAGGAAGATGCTGTCAACGAAGTCTACAGCAGCTACAGTGGTGTCAACATCGAACGTACCTGGGAGGACCAACTTTACTATCAAATCCGGATGGATAGCAGGAAATTCCTGATCGGCGGAAAGATCGGATTTGAAATCCAGTTCAATCCACTCTCACGGATGAAGATTTACAAGTTCCAAGCGGACATTGAAGAAAAGGTGTGTTTTTATTTTTCTTCTTCTTCTTTTCCGAGCGAGGTCTTTAAACTTTGAAGGAATTCACTCACTGATTTTGACTTCTTCTTTTTTTCTGAACAATTCAACAGACCCAATACTTTATGGATCACGAGAAACAGTACTTGAGGCATTGTGATAGCCAATCTTTCAACCTCGTCAAGCTAGAGCAAACTTCCCCGATAGTCATCATCAAGAAAGACGCCGATGACAAATTTGCGGCTTCGAAACTACGCGCAAGCGATGTACCGCTGCTACCGATAATCTCCTCAGATGCGCTCTTTGTGAGCAAATCGCCCCTGCTTCCTCACATCCAAGTGAGCCCGACTGGAAGAGCCAACGGAAACGGATCCGACCTTTGCAAATCCGATGCGGTTTCTGAACTCTCTAGCTGGTCAGACCAATCGGGCCCGTGGAATCTTAGATTTGATCTAAGGCTTCCGGGCTGTCACTCATCCTCCAAACCTTCTGAGGGAGATAAGAATACCGAAAAGGGACCGAAGGGGTTGAACTTCACTTGTCAACATTCCAAAAGTCCGATCGTAGTGAAACATTATCTAAGACTTCGCATGAGGGTCGAGCGTGGGGATGATGTAGCATTAGATAAACGAGGTCGTCGTAAGAAATATGACATCATTTTATCGGTAAGCCTTTTTTTTTATTCTAGGTCAATAATGAGACGCGTTGCGTTTTCATTTCATGTTCATAAGACTGACCAACTCACTGTCTACTCTGATCGATAAAAAAACAAAATGCAGAGCCCGATCCAAATCCTGAGTTGCCAATGTAAACCATATAGCTTGCCAGCATATGCCTCGTCGGACCCCACAGACATGACGGAAATACTCAGCATATTCAGGGAAATCAATGCTGCCAAGGAAAATTCAACACCTTCGCTTCAATGTAACTGCATTGCAAGGGTTGAATAGTAATTTCTAGCATCTCATCAACCATTGACCAGTCTCACAAAAAACATCACCCCTCAATAATTAGAATGTAGTTAAAGTAGTTTCTTAGCTCTTTCATGTGTATGCCCATCTTGTAGATATGTGTACCAATTACATAGTCTAGCCAAGTTCAATGTATTATGATCTCCTAAATTATCTCCCTTATTTCTGTGAGCGCTTTGACCACATGATTAATCTCTTAGCTTTTTATTCATCATAATAATTTTCTGTTGGTCTTTCTTATAATGTTGAAAGAAAAAAAAGTGTATTTTTTAGCTACTTTAGTGAGGCACTTGTTGAGTATCTTGAAATCTTGATCAGTTGAAACAAACTTGACCTCTTCCAATAATTGTTATCAAAAGTATGCAACAAGAAATGAAGAACAAAGAAGTATTAAAATATGGATTACTGTAGACATGCCCCAGACCAAATGATGACTTCTGTAATTGTTGTATTTTACACCTTGTGTAGCTGGAAGTCACTTGTCTTGGCATCACATAGGCTGACACATCTCAATCAGCCATCTTGACAAACACTTAAGACACCTGAATCACCAAGGAAATCAGAGATAAGCCATCCAAAATATGGTCTGCTATCACCAAACAATATGCCTCTGAATCAGCTAGTACTAAGGGTTGAGTATGGCTCAAGTTCATGTGATCCATTTTCAATGGCAATCTCAAGGAATACATCATTGAATGTCAAAAATTCATTTAACAGTTTTTGACTCTTCAAATTGGGGTCCCAGACAATCTTATCTTAATTTCAATCCTCTCCAAACTGTCCAAAGACATGTACGGCATAGTTCACAACATTGTTATGAATGAATCAATCATACATTTTCCTAATCATACTTTTGAAGAATATTAAAGATTTTCTTTATGTTACAAAAACTTGAGTTGATTCCTTTTCCAAGACAGTCACCAAGTCAGTATTCAAAGAAGAAGCATTTGAATTTAAAACCAAACCCAAGAAATAAGTTGATTTGAATTCTTGTTTGAAAGGCATTTACAATCAAAAATATTCTCACCTGGAAAGGAAATGCTTCAAACTTACAGAAAAACAGCAAAATGCTGCTTGACCTGCTTCTGGTCATGTAACTCATGTTACCTCAGCTAAAGAAGCAGAATCTGATTATGTTAAAGTCTTGGCTTGTCTCGACTTTGGTTCTGAAGAATCTAGACCAGCAATTCTTGATTCAGGGGCCTCTCATCATATGGTCAATAACAACCCTTTCTCCAAGAAGATTCAAGAAGATAATATTGAAATCAACATAGGAGATCATAAATAACACGTTGATGCTTTCACTTCTGGTGAAATTCAAATCATTGACAACACTGGAAACTTTATCAATCTCCACAAATACAGAGACCATGGCACTGGACCCTGAAGATCAATCTACAGATTTCAATGGATATAGATGTAGAGATGGCACTTGGCACCTGTCACACTTTCAGAACAGGCCCTCCACACTGCCAGCCACCAGAAATGTAGTTGGAGGGTCCAGTACTGATCCTTTGTCATCACTGCACCCTCTGCCTGCATTATTGGTGGCTATTGGTGCAGAGGTCATGTCCTGAAAGTGTGACAGGTACCCCCCAACAGGCGCCAATTGCCATCTATATAGATGTCCTCAGCAGCCTGAATTGACTGGTGGATTGCCCAGATGTGCCACTCATGTGAATCCTGGATTCACAAATCTCTTTTACAGAATATACTTGTTCCATACCATCAAGCTGATTTCCATTTTCTTGATATTTCAAAAGACATATAGCAAGACCTATTGGCCATACTGGGAGTGAGATGATCATACCTTTAACAAAAGAAACAGTGGATCAAGCCCTTCTGCTTTTCTCTGGCCCAGGGTTATAGCTATTATGGGGTGTTTATGGCAGTTCAAATAAAATCTCACCAGCCAAAGTGAAATTCCTGTCCCAGCCAAAAATCAGAAATTATACCCAAGCACCTCCCTGCAGTCGGGAAAGCTTTTATTGCCAGCGGACACCACTTTGCTTGCCCATCAAGACCCAGGCAAGGGGATTGGATAAGCTAGTGTATTTTATGTCATTAAGGATAGATTTTTTGAATTATCAGAAAAAAGAAACAATAAAAAAATAACTGCTGATACAATATTGTATTACGGTGTATCAAATATAGGCAAATCCACCATTATTCAATGGAATAGTTTTCGAAAACCCACCATTTTTTAAGCATGTTAGTTCTCCCATTTGGGGACCCATTGGTGAAAAAAAAATATTTTTGGATGATTGACTAAAGATGACAATTGGTACCTGTTTGGAGGTACCCGGCACCTGTTTGCCTGGTACCGCCCGGACCCGCCTGGCACCTGCCAGGTGGTGCCAGGTGAGGTACCAGGTGTCCATTTGTGAGCAAAAAAAAGGTGGTACTGTTGAATTTTTGAGCTCTTGACCAGTTTGAAGTTGAGAATTTTGAGGAAGGTGGCACAAAGAAGGCAGGGGCCCTTTTTTGGGAAAGGTTCAAGGTGAAGGAGTGAAAAGAACCAATGTTTTTATTCACTTGCAACTAGCCCAGATTATATAGACTAGGTACAAAATGGTCAAAAAGGGGTTGAAAGAAAAGTGAATAAAGAAAAAGTATTTTGAATAAAAATTGAGAGAAAATAGAATAAGTTCTTGGAAAATAACAAACTGCGCAGTACGTCTCATTCTCTTGTAGTAAAAGCCAGATGAGATAGTCAAGAAAAAATATTCTAAGTCACAAATAACAAGAGGCGTTAATTCTTGGTAACCAATTTTTAGTATCAAACAATAAATCAGAAAAAGAAGAAATTACAACCGTAGAGACAAGATTGATTGAGTTGAGTTTAATTTCTTAAGGTTCAAATTTGACTCAGAAGAGTACTCAGAAAACAACCAGAAAACATGCTACTTGGTTAAATTAAATCAGTCTAATTTAAGGTGATAAGAAATGTTAAAAGGTCAGAGAGAGAAAGAGAGGAAAATTTCAACAGGTACCAGGGTACGCCTAGAGGTACCCTCTTTACTGAGCAGTCACTAAGTAGGGGGATGGCTGTTGCCTTCTACTCAAAAAATGGGATGATAAAGGAAGGGGTGCTGGCCAAGTGGAAAGATGGTACTCAGACTGCTAAGAAGGTTAAAAGAAAGTTGATAGTATTAGAAGATTAGCTCAACACAATACTCACATGTAGTGAAAAAAAGTGAACTGCAATTTCAAGTCATAAGAGTGCCATTTGCACTGCGGCCACAGGTACCGCTGGTACCCACCCAAAGTACTGCTGCTACCCGCCAGGGAGTGCCAGGTGAGGTACCTGGTGTCCATTTCTGAGAAAAAGAAAGGTGGTACCAGGGTACTGCTAGAGGTACCCGGGTACTGATCGTCATCTTTATGATTGACTGGTTTCAAATAATGGTGGATTTCTTATAGATACCCCCTATTGTATCTGTTTCACCATTGAAATTTGACCTAACAGGCGGGTATCAAATATAAGAATTCCACCATTAGAAAACAGTTACTTTTCAAGAATAAAATTTGGGACTTGGAAAAATGACTCCCTTTTTTTGCCAACGACTCCCAACAACCGTCAGCAGACGTCTGTTGGGAGTCGTCTTCTAAAGTGTGGGCGTATTTTGGGAGTCGTCTGCCCAATTTCATTTTCATATTTTTTGTTGAGTTTTCAAAAACTTCTGCTCACTCCTTGACCTTGCCGCAGCAACATGATGAGAATAACATCCTCAACCGCTTAGGGCTAGAATTCTCTGACTGTTAAAAGTGCACCTTTCTTGCTTATGATAATCCTTAACCTCGTCAAGAATTCCGGTTCATTATCATCTTTTCTCAAAGGTCAAGTGACAAGAACAAATACGACCGTCAAGATTGAAACTTATCCGCCTCAAGCTATAAAGTAAAGCCGTCCAATACTCAACTTCACCTCACTCAAATCTGACTCCGCAATATCTCTTCCTTCAAGTCTGAATCTAGAACTGTCAAGACAGGACTCTGGTTCTCTATCATCATTCACTCTGCGTTTTGCAACGTACTGTTCGTTGAATCTATTTCTCTTCTGTCTCCCTCTGGGGGGTTGGCGTGCACTTATCAACCCCCCTCCCTCTGTTGTCGCGGGTTCTCTGGCCGTCGTTTTCCATTGTTTGTTGTTTGATGAGAAAAGAACTGATTGCCGATGTTGATTTCTTGTCTTTCCTTTTTTTTCTTGCTCAGTTCATTCCGCTTAACTTCTATCGCTTCGCTTCTTCCTCATCTAAGTCCTCAACTCTTCTTCAATCTGTCATCTCGCTGGTGGTACGACTTTGTCTCCTTCTTCTTTTTTTCTTGTCTGATTGTTATCTTTTCTTCATGTCTGATTGTTATTTCTCTCTCAGTCTGGTTTTGGTTTTTCAGCAATTCATTCGTAATTTCTTCATTTTTTTGGGGGAGTCAACTCCCCAAACCACTCCTCATGTATGAGGGGGTTTGGGAGTCGCTTCCACTTGACCGGAAGGAACCCCTTCCAGTCAGTGAGGAAGCTCAACCTCATCGACCAGAAGGGATTCCTTCTGGTCAATGAGGAATATCCGGTGATGAGGAAGATTGAACTCATCAACCGGAAGGAATTCATTCCGGTTGATGAGGTTTAGCTTCCTCATTGACCAAAGGAGAGTCCTTCCGGTCAATGAGGAAGCTATACCTCATCAACCGGAAGGGATTCCTTCCTGTAGATGAGGTTTAGCCTCCTCATCGACTGGAAGGAATCCCTTCCAATCAATGATGAAGCTATACCTCATCAACCGGAAGGAATCCCTTCCAGTTGATGAGGTTGGGGGTTTGCAGCAAGGGCTTCATCGACCGGAAGGACTCTCCTCCGTTCGATGAGGAAGCTACACCTCATTGACCGGAAGGGGTTCCTTCCAGTCAAGTGGGAGGGAGCGACTCCCAAACCCACTCATACATGAGGGGTGGTTTGGGGAGTTGACTCCCAAAAAAATAATAAAAAAAATTAAAAAAATGAAAATGAAATAGTGCGGACGACTCCCAGAATCCGCCCACACTTTAAAAGACGACTCCCAACGGACGTCCGCTGACGGTTGTTGGGAGTCGTTGGCGAAAAAACGGGAGTCGTTTTTCCCAAGCCCTAAAATTTTACATCAAGGCCTTAAAAGGGGTTAAATGAAGAACCAAAATGTTTGAAAAATGATGGATTTGTCCAAAACACTCAATTAAATAATAGTGGATTTGGTTATATTTGATGCCCCCTAATTTAATGCATGTAGAAGCTGAAACTGGACCTTTAATCAAAAGAAATTCAGTTATCAAACACCACTATAGTTCAATTGGCAAGCACATAGT